CCAGGTTTTGACTCCCTGAAGTCGATCATTGCGCGTTTCATGATGCAATTCTTAGGGCTGCCGCTGCGACGCAGCTCTCGAAAATTACGGGGAACCGTCGGCCATCGGGATGCGTTTTCCAAATGAGAATGGTTTTGTGAACTTAACTCAAGCAGGAAGCAAGCTACGCAGCTCCAGTTTTTGTCTGCTTCCGTAGTAGGTTACGACGCGTCGGTCCGTCGAATTCTGAGGTCCGTAGCTGTAGTATTACTGTCAAAACATTTTGGCGGAATCTACATCGTATGCAACCGAGTTTTTTTGTTTATATTATTTTTCATATTTACACACATATATACATAATTTCATAAAGCTGATATTTACGGAAGCTTTCTCGTCGTATTTAGAGCACTACTTCGCGTGTCAGCAGCTCTACGAGGGCCCCGGCGCTCGCGCACCGTGTATTCGGATGCCTCAGCCACCCTGGCTCGGCATGTCTGGCATGGTTTTCTTTTTCGGCCTCGTTTGGAGTGTCTGGCGTCGCGTGCTCTGGTGACGGGGTCCCTGTTAGTGGGGCCGTGCAGGCGTGTGCAGGGGATGGATGTGTGGCGGTCTTGCCGCTGCAGTTCGTCACTCTCTCGAGTGCTTTTCTTGGTGATGCCGATGCCTGCGGGCTCGGCAGGACCATATTGCAGACGCCTCAGCCATCCTGGCTCGGCAGTGGTGCTGTTTTTCTTGGCTCGTTTGGAGCCCGCTCGCTGCCCCGCGAGGGCCCGACCGCGAGACCGCAAACCGCAAAAAAAAACCTGGTTGACGGTTTACTGCCGGCTCCCAGTGCCTCGTAGAGCTCTTCGGCATCGATGAGCGAGGTATTCCGGCGCGGGGTCGAGCTAGCCCCACCCGGCCCGTGCGGACAATGTGTTGACCTGGGTTTTTGGAGATTGTGAGGGATTTTGGGAACCCCGATTTTCTCTGTAGTGGATTATGGCGAGTTCAGTGTGCAAGTTTCAGGGCTGTAGCTGGGGCACAGCTCTGGACAATTAGGGGGGGCCGTCGGCCGTCGAGACGCATTTTTCCAGATGATACAGGTTTTCTGAACTTAACTCAAGGCAGAAGCAAGCTCATAGCTGTAGCTTCCTCTGCAGCAGTCTTTGTTTATGGCGCGCCAGGCTGTCGAATTCTTGCGTCTGTAGCTGTAGTATTATTATGAAAATACTTCGCGTAACCAACTTCCTCTAATACCAAGAAAATGCATTCCTCGAATCTGCGCCTGATATTGAAGTAAGCTTTTTCGTCGTATTCTCAGCCTACTTCGCGTGTCAAGAGTTCTACGAGGGTCCTGACGGTAACCTGGTTGGGCTTGGCGTCTTCGGGGTTGCATGTGTTCTTGAATACTGATGAGGATGGAGGAGTTCATAGCGGACAGGATCGGGGGGACACACCTGCACATGGGGAGCGACTTAGCAGACGTGTTGCGTTGCATAACATGCGTTGTACACAATGGGACCTTGAAACGGGAGGGAAACCATTGGACTTCCAGGGGGACTCCCTATTAGTGATCAACTGGCTGTGCGGGAAATGGAGAGTACTATCTCAGGTGGATCAAAGACGAGTAGATATTCTGATAAATACGCTGGACCGCATGCAGAGTATTCGGTGAGGCCTCCAGAGGCTGGCCGAGACTTCTTCTCTCATTCCTTTCGTGAATGGAACCAAAGGGCTGACTGCTGACTCATAAGGCCCGTCAGGGCCAAGTGTGCGCCGATTTCTGGTACCTCAGTGATTTCGAAGCTCAGTGTTTTACTCCTTGCCTCATCAAAGCCGGCTTTGATGGAGGTGTGTGCAGCCGCGGAAGTGCCTGTGGCGTGTGGATACAGATCGGTCTGCGAAATAAGGACATATTCTCGCGGACTGACATCACTTATAAGGATGTGTATCTCGCAGCATGGTGTTTACCACCAAGTGCAACGGTGACAGATACTGAGTTACCAGCGGCGCAGCGCATCTGTGATGTGCTCCCACAAGTTGTGCAGAACTTCTTTGGTCATTCGCATGTATAAGCCACACTTGTTTGATTTCTATCATACTCTTCTTTGCATGTTCGTACAGCTTCGCTGTATTGTTTGTTCTTTGTATGTTCTTCAGTGTGCTTCTGCGTTTGATTGAGTCATTGCGTGCTTCTGATTCTCTTTATTCCAACAGCTTGGCTGATGTGAAATAAGTGCTGACTGCTTACGTGACAAATATGAGGCTTCGCTTCGCCTGAGACTTCGTTGGGCCTGGCTTCAGTGGTCAAGATGGCCCCAGCATAGGCGCGAACAACCTGGTTGACGGTTTACCGCCAGTCGCCAGTTGGCCCACCCGGCCCGCGCGGACAATGTGGCATTTTTTTGGTTTTCATACTTTGAGAGATTTGACAATTCGTTTTGAGAATCCAGATTATTATTCCCTGAAGTCGATGATGGCGCGTTTCGTGGTGAAAGTCTCAGGGCTGTAGCTGCCGTGCAGCTGTCGGAAATTAGGGGAACCATCGGCCGTCGGAATGTATCTTTCAAGATCATAATGATTTGTAAACTTAACTGACGGAGACAGCAAGCTACACAACTCAAACATGATGTTTTCCTGTCGCAGATTTTGACGCATTGGAGTCTTCAGTTCTGAGGTCCTTAGCTGCAGTTTTTGTATCGGAACACTTGGTGGCATTGACTTTCTACAAAACTCAAACATGTACTTTTGGGGGCGAGGAGGAGGAGGAGGAGGAGGAGGAGGAGGGAGGAGGAGGAGGAGGATGAGGAGGAGGAGGAGGAGGAAAAGGAGGACGAGGACGAGGAGGACGAGGAGGAGGAAGAGGAGGAGGAGGAAGAGGAGGTGGAGGAGGAGGAGGAGGAAGAGGAGGAGGAGGAGGAGAGGAGGAGAGGAGGAGGAGGGGAGGAGGAGGAGGAGGAGGAGGAGGAGGAGGAGGAGGAGGAGGAGGAGGAGGAGGAGGAGGAGGAGGAGGAGGGAGGAGGAGGAGGAGGAGGAGGAGGAGGGGAGGAGGAGGAAGAGGAGGAGGAGGAGGAGGAGGAGGAGAGGAGGAGCAGGAGGAGAAGGAAACGGCGGCAGAGGAGGAGGAGGAGGAGGAGGAGGAGGGGGAGGAGGAAGCGGAGGCGGAGGCGGAGGCGGAGGCGGAGGACGAGGAGGAGGGAGGAGGAGGAGGAAGAGGAGGGGGAGGAGGAGGAGGAGGAGGAGGAGGAGGAGGAGGAGGAGGAGGAGGAGGAGGAGGAGGACGACGAACAATAATACCAATAATACACATAATCATAATACTAAGACTACGGATAAGCAGCATACGAATACGAACAATAATGGTAATAAGGAGATGAGTAACAATAATACCAATACTAATACCAATACTAATCATCATCATAATACTAATAATAAGAAGATTAATGGTATTACTACCACCAAGCATAATTCAAGTACTAATATCAATAAGACGAATAATACTACTGCTACTAAGAATAATACTGTGACTAATAAGAATACTAAGATGAGGACCACGCATCATACTACTAGTATCGCTACAACTAATCATACTAATACTAAGAAGAATAGTACGACGGCTAAGAATAATAATGACACTAAGAATAAGAGTACTAATACTACTAATATTGATATTTTTAATAATGCTATTAAACATAATGATACCAATCATGTTAACATTAGTAATGCTACTACTTATCAATAACAATATTAATAATACGAATACTACGAATAACACTACGCATACTAAGAATACGACTGTTAAGCATAGTAGTAATACTACGAACACTACTAATACTAATAGGAATAATAATAATAGTAGAAATAATACTAATAATAATTCTAACAATACCACTAATACTAATACTAGTACTACTAATAATAATAATCATGATAATAATACTAATACTACTAATAATACTAATATTCATAATCATAATAATACTAATAATACTAATGATAATGCTAGTAATAATAATTCGAATAATAATGCTATTAATAACAATAACATTAACACTAACAATAGTAATACTAATACTAATACTACTAATAATAATAACAATACTAATAATATTAATACTAATAATTATAATGATAATAGTATTATTAATAATAATAATAGTAGTAATAATAATAGTAATACTAATAATTAAGAATAATAATACCACTAATATTACTACTAATAATAATATTAATAATTATACTTATAGTAATAGTAGTAATAGTAGTAATAATAATACTTATAGTAATAATAATAGTATTAATAATAATAATAATTATAATAATAATCATACTAATAATAATAATACTACTACTACTAATAATAATAATAATAATAATAATAATAATAATATTAATAATAATAATAATAATAATAGTAGTAGTAGTAGTAACGATAATACGAGACATAATCATAGCAGAATACGAATGATAATAATAATAATAATAATAATAAGAGGACGAGGAGGACGAGGAGGAGGAGGAGGAGGAGGAGGAGGAGGGGAGGAGAGAGGTAGGAGGAGGAAACGGAGGAGGAGGAGGAGGAGGAGGAGGAGGCGGAGGAGGAGGAGGAGGAGGATGATGATGATGAGGAGGAGGAGGAGGAGAGGAGGAGGAGGAGAGGAGGAGGAGGAGGAGGAGGAGGAGGAGGAGGAGGAGGAGGAGGAAGAGGAGGAGGAGGAGGAGGAGGAGGAGGAGGAGGAGGAGGAGGGGCGAGGACGAGGACGAGGACGAGGACGAGGACGAGGAGGAGGAGGAGAAGGAGGAGGAGGAGGCAGGAGCAAGGAAGGGCAACATTGTTTTCGAAACGGTTATCCAGAAAAGTAGGGTCGCGGCAAACACAATGCTGCTTTTAACATGCTATGCTGCTACAGGGGCGGTTTCCAGTCCCCAAGACCGTACGACAAACCATCGAGAACGAAAAGTCGTCCGTGGGGAGGGCTCAAGCGTTCTGGAGCCTGCGCATCCAATTGTCAAGGAAGGCATCAGAGGTCGGCGTTCGCAGCTGTGGGGGCTCAAGTACAAGGGCATGCGCGCGCCGCTCGAGTCTGCAAGGAAACCGCCCGCAGACTACAGGCAGCCATTCACGGAACCCGCTAGCAGTGCTTCTGCCAGCAACGCATCGCAGACGCTGGAGCGAGGCATGGCCCCTCAGGATTCGCGGCAGGTCGGCGGCGCGAAAAAAACGGCGGCGCGAAGTGGGCGGCCTTCTGGGGATGCTGTGAGGCTCCTCGGAGGCCGTCTTGATCTTTGAGAAGCCCTTTCAAGTGGCCTCCGATCCCTTCTTGGGTTGCCTGTGCCTTCTCGGAAAGCCGCCTCCCTCGCCGTAGACCCTCCCGGCCAAGCTCCGCCCAGAGCCAGCCCAGCGAGCCCTCCTGGGGTCCATCCGGAGTAGTCTTCCGAGCCGCGCCCTAGCTGTGGCGCCGAGAGTGTCAAGAGATGCTTCAAGCCTTCCGAAGCGACGTTGTCATTTTTGGGCCCACCTTATGTTGTGTCCTTCCACAACGGAGGACGCACCAGACTCGCCACGACGGGCATCTTGGGCATCGGTTCGGAGCTTCCGCAAACACCATCTCGGATCTCGTAGCTCTTCGCCAGCCACGTTCGGCTTCAAGCCCCTCCAGACAGAGGACGGCGCGGCTCAGAAGGAACTCTGGGCCGGATTGGGGCAACGGTGCACCGGCTCCTCTACTTCGTCTTCGTCATCGTTTAGCCCTACGCGCTCCTCTACGGAGCTCAGGGGCAATTGATTACGAGGGGGCGCTGGCCCGTGGGTGGGGGGGGGAAGCATCGACCACCTACAGTCAACCCGCACGGTAAGGATGGGCAATCTTCCCAAGAGTACCCTTGCATCCTTGCCTCCTCAGTCCATCCTTGGCCACTTTCGTTGGCCGCGGCCCGCTCGAAAAGCTTCGACATGAGCGTCGAAGGCCCTTGCATCCTTACCTATCGGTCGTTGAAAGTAAGTATTTTGGGATGCCCAGGTTCCAGTCTACCTTGAGCGCCTTCCCGCTCCCATGATCGAGTGGCTTTACCTTGTCCGTCCTCCTCAGGGGGCGGGCGGAAACCCAATCTTTTTTCAACGCCTAGGAGGAGGAGGAGGAGGAGGAGGAGGAGGAGGAGGAGTTTTTTCGACCGATGGGCATCGCGCATCCTTACTATACGGGTTGCCTGTATCGCCCCCTCCTCGCGGAGCCTGGGCCCCCCACCCCGCCCGGGAGCGTGCGGTGTTTCGCGGTCGGGAGCCCACGCATCGCGGCGGACCCATCGGCGAGGCATCTCCGTTTCTAGGTGGCGGTCGCCACGGCCTCGCCCCCTCCCCTCTGCGGTGGGTGCTGCAAGAGTGCTCTGGGTTTCTTCATAAGCGTGGCGGGGTCCCTCCCCGACGGGGGTCAACCTCGCCTCGTCGTCGCGCCGCGACGGGCGTCGGAGCGCCTTTGGCGCGCGGTGGCTGCCCGCGACGGGGGTCGATGTGGGGCTGTCGGCGGGGGTGACGCCCCCGCGACGCTTATTAAGAAACTCGGAGTAGCGTGAGACGCGCCGCCGTCGGCCCGCTCATGGCATGCTATCCCCCGCCTTTTGGGGATCGCGTGCACCGGGAGAGCCCTGCCATGCGGACAGCGTGCACAGGCGGACATCGCGCACAGAAGGATCCCTTCACGGGGGTCGCCTCACACGGATAGTGTGCACGGAGGAAACCTGATTTAGGTGCATGGCGTGTTTTTCCGGGATATCGGTGTTGCACACTACCCATCGGTCGTTGAAACTAGGTATTGCGAAGGCCTTACGGCCAGTGCCGCCGACCCTAAGGTGAACGACGACAACGGCGGCGGCGGCGACGACGACGCTGCTGACGTGGGTCAAAGTCCTCATGGATGCTTCTTGGATTCTCTTCGAAGCGCTCTCGAGGCCTCTGGGGAACAGTTTGGGGGCCTCCTGGCAGCCTGTTTGGGGCCTCTTGGGAGCCTCTTGGGGGCCTCTCGGGGCTTCCTGGGGGCCTCTTGGGGCCCTCTTTGTGGCCTCTTAGGGGCCTTGGGGGCCTCTTGGTTCCTCCCAGCTCCTCCTGGGAGCCTCTCGCTCGAAATGTCCTCTTGAAGCCGTCTTGGGGGCCTCTTGGGCTGTCTTGCAGGTCGCTTGGACCGTCTTGGGGCACTCTTGGGCCGTTTTGGGTCCGGAGCCCTCTTGGGCAGTTGGGGATGGCAGTTCGGCCAACCCGTCCTGAAACCTTCCTGAGGAAGATGTTAGGGAGGTTTTAGGAACGTTCTCCCAAACAACTCTCCTAAGGAAGGTTTTAGGAAGGTTCTTCGGAAGGTTCTTCTAACAAAGAACCTTCCTCAGAAAGGTTCCAGGAAGGCTTTAAGGCAGGTTCTTTTAAGAAACCCTCCAGAGGAAGGTTTTATGGAGGTTTTTGGAAGGTTCTTGCAAAAACAACCTTCGTGATGAAGGTTTTAGGAAGGAAGGTTCTTCCCACAAAACAACACTAGAGGAAGGTTTTATTCGGAAGGCTCCTCCAACCAAACCCTCCAGCGGAAGGTTTCAGGAAGGTTGCAAGGCTCTTCCTGCAAAGTCCTTCCTGATAAGGGTTTTAGGGAGATATTTAGAAAGGTTCTTCCCCAAAACCGCTCCTGATGAAGGTTTTTGGAAGGTTCTTCCAACAAGAACCCTCCTGAGGAATGTTGTAGGAAGGTTTTAGGAAGGTTCTTCCAAAGCGCTCTCCGGAAAAAGGTTTCGGAAGGTTTTAGGGCGGATCTTCCAACGAAGCCTCCCTGAGGAAGGTTTTAGGAAGGTTCGCAGGCCGGTTCTTTGAAGGAGCCCTCTTGCGGAAGGTTTTCGGGAGGTTTCAGGAAACTTCCCGAGCATGGTTTTCGGAGGGTTTCAGGAAGGTTCTTCCAGGAAGCCCTCCCGAGGAAGGTTTTGGGAAGGTTTTAGTTAGGAAGGTTCTTCCAACAAAACCCTGAGGAAGGTTCTAGGAAGGTTTCTTGGGCCGGTTCCTCCAAAATGCCGTCCTGAGGAAGGTTTTTAGACAGGTTTTTAGGAATGTTCTTCCAAAAAAGCCCTCCAGAGGGAGGTTTTGGGAAGGTTTTTAAGAAGGTTTTAGGACAGTTCTTCCAGAGAGCCCTCCCGAGGACGGCTTTAGGAAGGCCTTGGTGAGGTTCTTCCAACGAGTTCTCCTGAGGAAGGTTATACGCTGTTTTTTTAAAGTAAGGTTCCTGCAAACAACCTTCTTGGGGGAGGTTTCAGGGAGGTTTTAGAACAGGTTATCCCAAAATGCCTCCCGGAGGAAGGTTTCAGGAAGGTTTCTAGAAAGGTTCTCTCAGACAACCTTCCTGATGAAGGTTACGAGAAGGTTTTAGGAAGGTTCTTCCAACAAAAACCCTCCCGAGGAAGGTTTTTGGGAGGTTTGAACAAGGTTCTTCCGAGCAAAGCCTCGTGAGGAAGGTTTCGCGAAGATTTTTAGGCTGGTTCTTCTAACACAAACCCTTCTGAGGAAGGCGTTAGGGAGGTTGTAGGAAGGCACTTCTAACAAAAACTATCCAGAGGAAGGTTTTACGGAGGTTTGTAGGGAGGTTCTCCCTCCCCGAGGAAGGTTTTGGGAAGAAGGTTCTTCCAAAAAGCCCTCCGGAGGAAAGTTTTCGGGAAGGTTTTTAGGAGGGTTCTTCCAAACGAGTCTTCTTGAGGAAGGTTCGAGGACAGTTTTTGTGAGGTTCTTCCAAACTAACCCTCCTGAGGGAGCTTTTAGTCAGGTTTGTAGGCTGGTTCTTCCAACGCTTCCCCCCCCCCCCCGAGGAAGGTTTCCATATGGTTTTACGAAGGTCATTCCAACGAGAAACGTTTTTTGGGGTGGTTTCGGGAAGGTTTTCAGGATGGTTCTTCCAAAATTTTTCCCGAGGAAGGTTTTAGGCAGGTTTTTGAGACCAGTTCTTCCGGCAACAACTTCCCGATGGAGGTTTTAGGGAGGTTTTTAAGCGGGCACTTCCAAAACAACTTCCCCGAGGAGGGGTTTAGGACAGTTTTAGAAGGGTTCTTCCAGCAGACAATCCCCCAGGGGAAGATTTTAGGAAGATTCTTAGGAACGCTCTTCAAAACAAGACCTTCCGGAGGAAGGTTTAGGGGGACTTTCGGGCCAGTTCTTCCACGCATCCGTTCTGAGGAAGGTCTCAGAAAGGTTTGTTTTTAGGGGGTTCTTGCGAACAAAAACTTCATGGGGAAGGTTTTAGAAAGGATTTAGAAAGGTTCTTCCAAAAAACCCCACGGGGAAGGTTTTTGAAAGGTTTTGAAAGGTTTTCCCAAAACATCTCCTGGAGGAAGGTTGTTGGAAGGTTTTCATGCCGGTTCTTTCAAATATTGTTCCTGAGGAAGGTTTCGGCCGGTTCCTCAAACGTGCATTCCCGAGGAAGCGTTTAGGAAGGTTCTTCCCAGAAAAACATTGCCTAGGAAAATTTAGGAATGTTTTTGAAGATTTGATGACGGAAGGTTCTTCCAAGCAAAAACCTTGCGTGGAAGATTTGATGACGGTTTTTAGGCCGGTTCTTCCAAAGCGAACCTTCCTGAGGGAGGTTCCAGGGAGGTTTTAGGGAGAAGGTTCTTCCCCCAAAAACGTCCCCGAGGAAGGTTTTAGGAAGGTTCTTCCGGAAACACCCGAGGAAGGGTGCAGGAATGTTCCAGGAGGGTTCCACCCCGAAAACCCTCTCGCGGAAGGTTCTAGGAAGGTTTTTTGGCGAGGTTCGTCAAACAAAAATCTCGCCTCTTGATGAAGGTTTTAGGGGGGTTTTAGGAAGGTTCTTCCACCGAGCCTTTCTGAGGAACGTTTTAGGGTTTGTCCCCAAGCTCCTTGGTTGGGTATTCGTCTTGAATGGAGAACTGCGGTCTCCAGTTCTCCTCCTCTTCCTCTTCCCGCCTCTCGTCTCCCGCTCACTTGTCTCCTCTTGCCTTGCGCGAACCTGGCCATCCCTGGGGGGCTGCGATCTGTGACGCTGTCGCCACTTTCGAGGGCTGCTGGTGGGCCCCGCGGAGTGAGGCACCGCGGGGATCTGAGCGGGGCCTCGCGATCTCTGATCGTAGACGCGACCCAGATTGCACGATTCCTCTTTGCACGAGGCAGAAGTCCTCTCGCCGATCGAAATCATGCAAACATCTGCGTGGTAATTCGCGCTGGATTCGATCTTGGTGATCCTACTATACCACGAGAGGCGACCGGATAAATCCGCCGACCACCACCGAGCGGACTTGGGTGCCCAGCTTGTGTAGATAACGTTCAACTGAACTCACCACGAAGTACCCGAAACCCACGACAAATCCGGTGGTTTGACAAAGACTCTCGCTGCTTGGACCGCCCAAGCTGCAAAATGGATTATGGCAGAGACAATCAGGGCCACCGGCTAAAACCAGGCATATGTAGCTTTGCCAAACTATGGCGCTTACCAGACAACTTCGTACAGGCCCCGCTGGCTGCGCCAGCACCCGCGGACGGAACGCCTGCGTTGGTTGCTGCTGCTCCAGCAGCGGCGCCGGGCGAAGTATTTGACGAAGTACCAGCTCCAGCAGGGATGCCACCAGCGCGTCAGCGGCCTTTGGGCTGTCCTTTGCCGCGCACACCTATCCGCAATCGTAAAAATTCAAGTGGCCGTCCGTGAGCGCTGGTAGCTACGACGTGGCGAGAGGTGTACACGGCTCTGGCGGCAGTGACTCCAGTAGCTCGTCGGCTGGCAGCTCGTCGGATCCACCGCGTGTT